CATGAGACTCTCTTGTTATTTTTTTCATCTTTTCATATTTTCCATGTTTTCCGAAACATTTTTTTTGTTTATCTTCAATATTTTCCATTCAAATTGGTACTGGAACTACAATTTGCATTATCCTTTATGCAAGATGGCTTTGAAATCAAGTTTCATTAAGTTTTTCCATGAACAGTTCACTCATTGTTCATCTTGAACAATAAATGCACACCTTTTTTTCCCTTTCCTACATCTAGCTACTTCTCTCTTCTATCTAGACATCCTGGGGGATTATTGTTCATGAGTAGTAAAATTTTCGTGCACTAACACTATAATTACGGTCCATGTTAACATTGAACAGTGGAGTATTGAAAAGAAAAAAAAAGATAGTTCAAGTCAAGGGGAGAAAAAGAGAAAAATCAAAGACAACAGAAGGGAAAATAAAGAAGAGGAAAAAAAGAAATGGTGATTAGATTCCATATATTAATTGTGAATCCAAGGACACTCAAGATACAAGGCATTCAACTTCCTGTACTCAAAGGATTTCAATCATCTTCTTCAAACACATTAACAAAACCAACATTCGATTGTGCAATATGATTTGTGTATAAGGTCCCAATTGACATTTTGGATTGAAATTTTGTTACGACCAATCCTGTAGCCGGCCCAACAGCCAAGGGGCGGGGTCAGTTATAGTAGGCAAGACAGCTAGGAGATCGACCCCTCTTGTGGGGCCCACAAAGCCAATCATTCCTTATGCGAGGAGAAGGATTAAGGAATGAATTAATTGGAGTAATTTACATTCAAAGGAGGGAATTTAATTAAGGAAAGAGAGTTCTTTTATGGTTGTTTTGGAGGGATAGAGCGGGATTAAATAGGGGTGTTATTTTATATGAGTTATGTTTTTGGAGTTATTTTTTCTGATGTAGTTTTCTGTGAGGGCTTAGCAGTGTCTAGGTTGATTGGGAGAGAAGATCTACCTCTCTGAATGTAGAATTTTTTTCTCTCTGAATGTAGATCGATTGTATCCTTTGTTTCTTGTCGATTTGTTATAAAAAATCCGTCATTATTTCCCCTACATCTGCTGTAATTTGTTGTTTTATTTTGTAATTTTTGTGCTTGATTGCTGATTTCTTCTCGTAGACATATCAAAATTCGGCCAATAGACAAATCTTGTGCTATGCATAAGTCCATATGATGAAAACTCAACTAAAATAATTTAAATTTTATTACACGCATTTAGTTTCGGTTCTTAACACTACAATAAGAGTACTTTTCAAGAGATGCTACCAACCACAATATATTTAGGCAATGACTGTCTTCAATGTCATCTTGGCACTCATATGAACATAATTAGAAGTTGATAATCTTGATTTAAATATACAAGTACATTTTATTATCAACAAAAAAAATCTAGATATAGCATTTCATACGAGTTGTAGATCTCAATAGTTATCTCAACTCGTATATCAAAATATCATTATCATAACATATAGTTAGAATCATAATATCATCACGATCATCGATACATTTAAAAAAAGATTTAACATTGTGTGTTATGATTTTGTAGAAATATTAAAAGCAGTTGAGAGCTTACTCAAGCCCTTATAGAGGATGAGAAATATACAAATTCTCATGATTCAAATCATTATATATATTGATATGGCCTATGTCACCACTTTAAATGGATGGCAAAATTCTCAAGGTATGTAAGGTTGTATTTTTGTTTTTGTTTTCAAGAATAGTTATGCGGGAAAAAATGTTTGCTTAATTGTTTTTTTATTTTAAAAAATGAATTAGTATGCTTAGAAAATTTTCTAAAACATATAAGAGGTATTTTCGCTAGTTTCTAAAACATATATCTTGAAAACAGAAAATTAATATGCATTCAAACATATTTCTACTTTAAGTGAACATAAAAATAAAAAGAATCAAAATTAACAAAAACAAAACAAAGCACAACTAAACAAGCTCTAACATTTTGTTTGGTTGATTAATTGATATAGATAATGAATTCCCTAAGTACCAAATGGTTGATGAAAGGTGCATTAGATTTGCTTATGCTAAATTTGCAAGTTTTGCTCAAAGGCAAAAGGTTTAGAATAATGAAAGCCCTATAACTCCATGGGTTGAATAAAGCATCAACCTAAGCATAATATATATCTCCACAACAACTTAGGCAAATCTATCGAACAAATTTAAACCGTAAAGAAAAAAATAAAAAAAATAAAAACTTAGTAGCATAATATTTTAAAATTTTGGATTTACTTGAAAGAATTTTCTAAGAAAAATCATGGATTACTGCATCTAGATTCATTAATTCTCATAGATAAAATATTAGGCAATAAATCTTTATGATGAGGATATAATAAATGATGTTTATTCTAGAAAGGTAAAGATCAAATTATATCTTGATAATTCTCTTGCTATTTCTTGCTATTTCTATTGATAGATTATTTAATGCCTATGATAAAATTTGATTATGGTTCACTTCTTAAAAATAAACTAAATGTACCATATAAAGCCAAGGCTACTCCTTTGGAAGAAACTATAATCTATGGAATCTCCAAAATTTCTTTTGATGTAGAGCAAGACAAAAAAGAAGATTATCATATCAGAAAAGGCATTCAGTTGTGCACTTTATCTATGCCTAAGATTGCAATTGATTTTCAACTTTAGCCTAAACACATAAGCAAAATACTGGCATTGAATCTGAGAAATCACCACTTGTTCAAAAATCATTATTTTAGTTCATGATAACTCATTTTCCTCCTTAACTTCATTGCCCAATATATTTGAAGGAACATATTGAACCATAATGCAATTAGTCTATAACTAAAAGGTGGACATAATTATTCTTTAAGAAAGTATTTTGGATGTCTTTTAATGACTCTTTAGAAAGATTAGACTAGGTTATTGGATATTGCATTTGTTTGCGAATGAGTTTACATATGCAAGTTCATTATTAAAAAAACCCATCAACCTCCTTTCAAAATTTCTCCTATACTCCTAGTCAAGTAATTAGCCAACTTTTGGGCTTCCATCTCCTATGTATATGTAATATTCTATTGCATCATTCCTTGATCATACACATAAGTTGCATGCTGATTATAGTGATGGAGTTGACATACAAAACGAAAGTTTGAAAGTTGTCATGCTTGGGTGGTGCTTGGGATTACAATGAAGGATATTAAATCGTTGAATATATATATCTTATGCTATGAGCTACCTGCACTCCACCTACGTATAATTACTACTAGAGCCTTTAAAGATTTACAATGCTATCTGAAAGATAGGTTATCATGTGTATGTAATTGTTATACCTATTAGCATAATAATTATCACTCATTCTTTCTATATTAAGGATTTGTTACATAATTAAGGTATTTTCAAGCCTCCAGTATTTTTTATTAATACTTTTTTAAGTAAATTTTTAGATTGTCCAAGAGTAGCGCAATTGCCAATTATTCACTACGTCTAGGAAAGCTCAATGGTGTTCCTTCAAAATCATATTGTCCTCTAATCAATTGGAAATATTGCCCATCATTTGATAATCCATAACTAATGAAGGATGATATTTTATTCGTGCATATCACTTAAAACTCTCTAAATCAGGTTATTTTGATACAGGGGAAATTGATGTTGATGTAAATTCTAAATTTTTATTTCATGACATAAAAAGTTATTTTATGTATGCTAAGTTTTAATATTTTATTAGGATTGTTTTATTCGATCGATTAATTTTTTTAGAATTTCTGTTAACAATTTGGTAGTAATTTTTTTGGTTTGTTAGCAATTCATAAAATTATAATAAGTTTGATAATTTGTTAGTAGTTTGCTAATAGTTCGCAATTATTTTTGTTTACAAATATGTGAATTCTTACTTATATAAAACAATTTTTATGGCATGAATAAAATTATACTTTGGAAGTGAAGACTCTCCATCGTCATCAACTATTCCAGGACTTAATACTTAATTGGGTGTGAAATCTAAAACCCTTCAAGGAGAGGTTCTCTCTTTGTTCAGACATGAGATTGATAGGAAACAATAGGAAAATAGTAAAATAATTGCTGAAATCAGAAATTCTACGGATGAACCAAACAAATTTTTAGGTTTTTATGGATGAAAACACAAGAGAAACACTCTGGATTACTAGGAGATGAAAAGAAATAGCAAGATACAAGCGATCATCTATTCGAGAGAATGATCAATCTCTGCAAAACTCTATATACGCTGCTAGAGCCCAAGACACCAAAGTAAACTCCAAAAAGTAGCCACCAAAAAGATGCCCTAACCCTAATACAAGCTCCTAATTAAAGCAAGCATAAGAATAACCAAAAAGACTAAACAGCCCCCCTCTCTCTTCCCTAAACCGTGGACCCCACCCCCAAGGGAGTGGCAAATCAAGCCTACGGCCAGCACACTTTCGCCTGCTGTAGGTTTTGAGCCGGTCCGGAACGGTCCCTCCTGCACCGGTCTAGGCGTATCAAAGGCCTGCTTATCTTGTTATTTTTTTTCAACATTTCATCTTTTCCATCTTCTCTTTTTTTCTGAAAAGTCTAGCTTTATATCAACCAATAGATATATCAAGTTTTACATGAAGCTTGAACCATTATATAAACATAAAGGTTATACTGTAGCCAATATAAGCAAAATAATTTTCAAACAATTTGATTGCACGTTCACTATATTGTAAGTTTCTATACAAATTGTAATCAAGTTGGTTATTTAACAAATCAATTCATGCAATCATATAGTTAAATGATGCAAGCATAGTTCAATATGCTACTAATTGTGAAAAGGTAATTTCCTAAGTAGAAATGATACGCGCCACCTGACAGCCAAACCATTTAGCCTTATATGCTTTGTCGTAACCATGACATGCCAAAATGTAGTCCTGTAGCCATATAATATAGCTGAATGATACTAAGAATGCAATAAATAGGGGATTCTGGTATTTGATTTATATGGGAGATAGCCACATAGATTAGATAAAGGGCTGGATATATTGCTCACTTACCAAGAATATTGCTTCCACCAGAGAAAGTATCACTGCAAGCTAAAATGGCCTTGGATGTAAGAGATTCATATTTGTTCTTCACACTCGCTCTAAAAAACTTCTTATCAGCCTTTCTTCCATCATGAACACGCTTAAGTTTGACAATCTGCGATTTATCTGTTAATAGGAACAAAGTTTAGCTCAGAAACAACTTTGAATCATCAAGTTTACAAACTATCCTATGAACAAAAGGACAGCTCTTATGACACCAAGACAGCAAGATAAAACAGTTTGATAATATTAGGCAAGAAATAAGAGCTCCTGGACATCACTTGGACAAATTCATGATAATTTAAAAAATTAAGGACAACCAATAATTGAAACTTGGGTGTGATTCCATCCATTTGCATTGCTTGGTAGATAAGACAAACTGTTTTGAATTCCAAAGTGCAGTTTCGTATGCCATGTCTCTCACCACAATCGTAGAGGGCAGTTTACTAATGGCAAGTCTCTTACCAAAGTACTGATAAGGCATGGATTTAAAACCACAACTACATAATCAACTATAAGGGAACATTCAAAAAGCACTTCCAGATGTCCACAATACACAAAAACCATTGTAGTTTAAGGATTCGTTTGGGACGGCTTTTTTACTATTTCTTAAAGCAGTTTTCTAGTTCAAATTTTTTTATTTTTGAACTAAAAAGCTGCTTTAAGAAGCAGTAAGAAAGCCGTCCCAAACGAAGCCTAAGTTCTTCACAAGCCATCACAAGAGGATGGTAATTTATGCTAAAGGATAGTGCTGTCTAAGCACACTGATGGCCCATATCGAGAGAAGGCCAATATCAATGCCATTAGATTGTATTGCAAGTCAAAACTTACATATTTCTGACATGCTACCTCGTGTAGCAGCATTGAATACCATAAAGAATGCAACCAAGTGACTAGTCTACCATACATACAGCATAACTGGTACTATGCAATAATCTTTAATCAACTACTTGAGCTTGCATGTGGCGCTTTATTTTCTTCCTTTTTTTTGTGGTCAGGGAGTTGAAATCAACAATAATAATTTTTTCCTTCTAACACTCGAGCGGTGGTACAATTCATAAATTTCTTCATTTGCAAAGCATGGAAAGTTCATTAGTATTTTCCTCTCATCCCTGCCTCAGATTAATCAGCAATAGAATAAGATACTAGATATACAAGTTATAACCGGGCATAATGGACCATCAGGTTTGTGGAATTCAACTTTATGTTCATTCGATGATTGTAGTGCATGAGTAAAAACACGTTTAAAGGCTGCTATGCAAGTATAAAATAGTAACATGGAAAAAGCCGCTTTTGTTAATTGCAATATTTAAAGCATTCCATTATTAACAACGACCATATCAATTTGAAACATCTTTTGTCATTTGTGAATAATAAAAATTTTAGCTTCTTTTCTTTTAAGGGTATCATATCCTTGTGTACGGGTCTTTTTGCATTCTCCCCATCCATATGCATGCTTCAACGACTACCATAACCATTTTAAACATCCTGAATTTCCCTCATTAAAAGGTCTGCAGCAGCCTACTGCATTGTCATTAGTATTCAAATAACTCAACTACATTTCCTCAAAGATCTCTGTAAGAAAAATTAGTAACTTTGACATCTACTTTCTCCAATAGATTAATATGGCTACTTCAAGATACATGAATCAGAAAGCAGTTCCACCACAACAACTTTTAGGGCGTAAAAACATCGTTAACCTTGGATTGGTTATTGATAACCATGAACTTCATGCATCAAGTTCATTAACAACATATATTCAACAAGCCAGACATTATATCCGAAAAAAGATACATAGAGTAGCTCTGTTGACTAATACATAAATCAGAAATCTGAAAGCAATTAGCAATACAGAAAAATTTACAAGTAATTCTCAAGTGAGTAAACTTATTTTAAGAAACTTTCCTGATCAAATTTGGATTACATGAGAGACAGAAAAACAGTGAGAACAGCTTGCAAGGAAAGTCTTACACATAGATGACAAACAAGCTTATGTGTCAATTTTATGCAGACCACAATAATTAGAAAGTAAGAGTCACGTAGGCCCGCTAGATGATATAGATTTTTAGGAAGGCATCAATAATTACCAGCTAATGTGCACCTTACAAGGTCCAATCCTGCCTTACTGGAGATACTATGATGACGACCAGTCCCTGACTCCTTCATTAAACATTCAGTATCATCAATTCTTGGCCTTTTAGATGGAATACCAACAGGTCTTTTGGAATATTTTCGTCCAAGAAGTTTTCCTTCTTGATTTGGTGATAATGGGGTATGCCCATCAACCTTCTCAACATCATGCCCCTTACTGTTCTCTCCACACTGGGGACGGGAAGGCAGATTGTCATGCACACAAGAATCTTCATCAACCCTCTTATTTCTGGAACACTCTGAAAACATATGTGGCAGTTATTATTATAAAAAAAAAATGTGGCAGTTATTATTAGTATTTAAACATTAAGTTGCACTATTAATAAAGTAACCAGGTTCCTAATTGAGCAAATGTTAATTTCAAAAGAAAAACACCCGAATGTGCAATGAATGCTAGAAAATGTCAAATAGATCAATCAAATGCATGGCTCAACAAATCAAGCAATAACTATCATGGTAAATCTACAGAAAAATGAAATTTCAATCAACTTATATACTAAATAATAATAATAATAATAATAATAAAAACTCCGACAAATGAAGACTTAATAATCAAAGGCGAAGCTACAATGTCGATACTGAGGCCTGTGCCCTGATTGGCCATGCCCATAATGTATGATATTTTTTTTGTTTTTAATTACTCTCAATGCCTAAATTAACTATCTTTAGGTTTGATATCACAAAATTGCACTATATTGTGCTAATCTACACTATTCAGAAATGAGGCTTCCAGTCTTCCGTGCTCTGACAAAATTTCAATTTTAAGGAATTTGTTGAATCAAGTGTTCTTCATACAAAAGGGGATGTGATGAGAAGGGCTCCTTGCATGACCTCCCTCCAAGGCTCCATTGCCCTTCAATGCTGAGATACCTTAAGGATGTAGTTGTCGTGGTAGTGATTGGTGTCATAAATCACATTGAAGTGTCAACAGAGGATTAGATGATGGAGATGTTCTCTATGTTTGGAATGCCATGCTTGGCGTTCACCGGTTCGATGGAGAAAGCAATTGCTAGGCATTCAGAATGGCACCATTGATGCCATCAATAATTGTGCTCAAGTTATTTTTTGCCCTAATTTAGTTTATTTTGGTCCCTTCTCCAACCTTATTTCATCATAAAGATGGAATTGATTTTTGTAAGACTTTTTATGGCAGGATCATTAGTGTGAGAATGGTAATGATTTTTTTTAAAACTAGCAACACAAATATTTTACAAACCTGAAGATTGATCTCCATAGCCAAATACTTTAAAAAACTTTAAAATATGACTACTCCGCTCAAAAACCAACTTCTCAGTACATAATCTTATAACTCTGGTCAAATTCTTTGAAGTAAATAGTTCATTATAAGAAGTTCAACAGCCGACTATTTTTAAGTTGGAGCAAAACTAGCAAACCATTTTTCATTGCAAGATAGCTGTTCTTCTTTGCATATTCATCTTCTTGATAGATCACTAAGAGAAAACGAAGTGAATCAGTTTCAAAATCTTTCAAGGTTCTTCAGGGGCAATAAGAATGAGTTATAAGCTTGTTTTAACTCAATTTCTCTTACACCAAGCACTACTTCGAGTGAGTATAGTGATACAAAGTTCAAATAAATTTGTATAGAAATCAATTTATGCCCCCACAAAATAAAAATTCTGGTTCCCCTCCACACTTCTACATTCACATAATAGTTTCTCCAAAAGGTTAAAATATGTTAAGGGAATGCTGTAAAACCTAAAAAATTAACATCACAGATGAAGATAATCAATTGAAAACTTCTAAACAGCGAAAAGGTATCAATGAAACAGAGTACTACTTCACAAAAACGAGAAAAAAAGCCTATCTATAACAGCTCGAACATACCAAACATCAAACTCAAAAACAAAGGTACCCAGCTCAAAACCCTAACTTCAAACAACCAAAAAAAGGAAAATCGGCAATATCTCGAAATAAAAATCTATCTCACACTAATCCGGACACCGAAAACAGCGAAAACCCAAAAAGTGCCACCAAAATCAAATCTTTCGCTTCCAAAACAAATCTCATACCTATACGACAATGACCTGAGCCAGAACTTTTATGAGAAGCGGAGGCCTCTTTCCCCGCCAAACTCCTGGCCTCGATCTCCCCGACTCTATCCAAATCATCTAATTCCATAAGCTTATCAACCTTCACATTTACTGGCGAGGGCAGCTCCGCGGCGTCCATCCACCAAAAAGAACCCAAATAAACAGCAAAAGCCCCATCATTTCCGATCTCCGCATAGAAATTCTTCCATGGAATCCATAGATCTTCACGATCCAAAACAAAAACGCAGATCCTGGCGGCGATAGAGTATAGGAAGGGCGGTAACGAAGCAGAAGGGCTAAAGCGAAATGAAGGGCTTTAGGGCAGTGAGGAGTCAGAGGAAACGGAGGTATATATAGGTTACGGGAAAATCCTAGAGGTTTCCGTCACAATCGAATATTCCGGCAGGTCAGCACAAGCTGTAGGGGTTTGAGAGAAGAGCCTGATGAAGGAAATCTGGCCGTTCAGAGACCAAAAAATGTACACCTGCTTGCACCAAGCCCAGAACAAGTTATCCGATATTCCGATGAAAGTTTTCATTGACTTGGTCTTTCTCGTGGTTTAAAAAGAGAGTGCAGGTAGTGTTATTTGTTTTATTGGAACTTCTAGTAAAGGGGGCGATTAAAAAATTACTTAACGTTAAAAGACTAAAAAATGGTAATCAAAGTGTCGGATTTAAGAAAATAAAGAAATTTGATATTTCTTAATATTTTTAGAGGAATTGTTATTGCTATAAGACATTAAATAATATATTAGTCTCTAGGTATTGCTAGTATGCACAATAATCAACTAATTCTAACACAAAAAAACTTATCCTTAATATTAATATATTTTGTTATTAAGTGATTTAAATAATATTTCATTTGTAAATGAGTCGCACATTAACAAATTAAGCTCAATTTTTTTAATATTTGATTCTTGAGCTTTAATGATATTTCGTTGATAAAATTCAGCTCATATTATGACTGGTTCATAAAACTTAGTATAATATAAGAAACATTCAAATGTCAAATTAATATTGTTAAGTGCTAGATAATTTATGTCTGTAGATTTGATCTTTTATGTTTTAGCTTTGGATAAAAATTCAACACGAACAGATAAGCGTTGTATGATAAAAAAAATACTTGAAAATCTCGGAAAAGAAAAACCCATAGAGCGTAGCCCAATTAAACAATCCACCATATAATAGAAGATACAAAAATAGCTCACCGGCGATTGTCTGACTACAGTCTCTCTAAACTCCATTGCCCATATACTATGGTCTTCAGACCACCGTCGCCAAACTATAGACATTTCAACTTTTGTCGCATGCCAACTACTCTCCTCCAACCTCTTTCAACTGCCAACTACAATCCTCCAACTACTATCTTTTGACTACAGTTTCTCTCGACCAACGTCGCCAAACAATTACAGTCTTTGAATTACTTTCGTCTTACTACGATCCTCTGATCACATTCACCCAACTATGATCCATCATATCATGCCCCATGATTTATCAAAGGAATTATGCATAACCTTTGATCTCATCATCAAAATTTTTATACACTAGAGCCACTAAATATACCAAAATATGAGGAGAATATATGACATCCATTCTCATTTCATTTTGTATATTGTCCAAAAGAATTATGTACAATAATTCAGAATAGATTTCTTATTCATCATAAACATAAACAACTTGATTATCAAAAAGAAATACATTTAGTTGAACTTTTAGTTAGTCAGACTTTAACCATGTTGACTTCTAGTCTACTCAATCTCTCTTTACCCTTTCCTAAAATAAAATTTATATATACAAAATGAGTGACTAATTTCTCACTTGGTTATGTAATCCCTATTAAAAAAATCAAAGCCTACATTTACAATAATACATTCATGCATATATATATATATATTCTAGATGCTCTAAATAGAGAGCTCGGTGCTATAGTATCGACTCCCAGCAGTGATGCTTTCCCAAGCGCCTTATCCCTCCCCCTATAAGAAGGGCTGCGTTGCCATGCCATAAAGCATGACATTGCAGCGCTCCCAAAAAACTTTTCCCCTTAACATTTTATACTCTTTCAAATCCAACCCTAGACCTTCTAGTCTTAAATAAACATTAATTGACTTAAAATCACAAAAATCTAATATTCACAAGAGCAAATAATAAAATCTTATCGAATTGGTTCATATAGCATAGTTATTACACTTTTAACCCTAGTCGCCTATCGATTATTGTTGTAATCACCCAAAAGTTTACAATAAACTTATTTGAAAAGTATAAAAATTCTAGGTTAGGCGCTACAATGCTTTGCTTGCTGGCATCCCGGCTATGGGTGTGCAGCGTTGAGGCATCAAAATTCAGTGTGGCAGCATTGATGCTCTATGTTCTACATTAACTATGGAAAGTGCATGCGGTGCCACGTTGGAGAGTCGTGGAGCTATACACTGAAATATATATATATATATATATTCTCCACTCAGCCCTCAATCCCCTTCCCACTATTTCATTTCTTGTTTGAAAAGGAGCTGAGGAAGGAAAGAAGGGAAGGGAAAGAGAAGAGGAGAGAGAAGCTCCACGAGGCTTTTTTGTCCGATATAAAAGTTTTCTAATCATTATAAGTGATTATATTCTTAATCTTGGTTTTTATTATCTTAATTTCTACAATTTTAATCTTGTTTAGATTGATCAAAATAATTTATTTTATCCTTATTTATTGAGCTTTCATCATGAAACTTTTTATACATGATAGATGTGATCTACACGAGCTTTTTGACTGTTATATTATTGAACTTCACTAAATAAATTAGAAGCTATGATTTTGAAGTAAATTCACAGTATTCAAATTTTATAGATTTTCCTATATTTCATGGATCATTGTATTTCATATATGATATTGCATTATATGGAGAAAATGGTATAACTGATATATGAGATAAATATCACATTTACATGTAAGCAACAAAGGATGACTGCTAAAACTAAAATTAATATATATTAACTCTTAAAACATAATATCATGTACAAGAGAATGGGTAGATGAGCATTCATTAAAATAAAAAATTTGTAGTGGTCCTAGTTATAGCCTGTAACCGAATTACCTAATTACGCCAATAGATAAAAAGTTGTGAGTCTTCATTAATTACTGAAAGTCACATATGAATTGACTTAAGATTATGAATAATGATGATAAGATAAAGATCGATGACCAACTAGTTGACGGTTGAGGTTAAATTACAAACTAATGACTAAATCAACACTTGGGGTGGAAGGATGAAAATATCGTATTAAAGCTATATATCATGGCTTGCCCTTTAATTACATTTATGATTGCATGTATATGATAGTACATTAAACTAATGAATAGATAGAATTGGTATATAATTGATTGAATTCGCATTGATACTAATACAATATTACATAATATACTAATATAGCCCATTGATTAATAGTCCTTTTTATTAATTGTTCTTATAGTTTGTTATATCTCTTTTTGTTTTACTTATCATGTTAATTTTATTATTGATTGATATAGATTTTATAAATTGATTATTACTTATATTGATAAATTATTGATTATTGATTGGTATGGATAGCAACTGGAGTAGGCATATTGGTTCTTTTATCTTGCATTGAATATAGTGGTAAGTTTTAGTTACTTGTTGAGCTATGTGTAACAGCCCACACTCTTAACTATCGAGATATTATCTGCTTTTTTTAAGGGCCTCACAATTTTGCCATGATGATGTAACTTCCTAGGATGTCATTTATCTCAGAATTTCTTTAGGATGAGCACGCTTAAGTGCATAGTTTTTAATAAAATTCAATAATTTCACCAAAAGGCCCCTCGCTGTTTAAGTTTTTAATTACTTTTACTTAAGAGGTTTCATAATCTCCCTCACTTAAGTAATTGACGTCCTCATCAGTATCTTTATCCCAGAATAATCCACCAGGTAAATAGGATTCTAGAGGTGGCCCCTACAAGTTTAAGTGGTGACTCTCATGTCGTAGCACTTTGTCACATACATGGTACAACAGGTGGCTCCTATGGCATAGCACTTTATGTATGGCACTTAGGGTGCGTTTGGGATTACTATAGCCATCAGTAAAGCAGGTTATGAAGTTGTTGCCCAGAAAGCTACTTTCTAAAGTTCTTGTATATAAATCAATAGATTTTGTTTGGGTAGTATAATTCTCGAACTGCTACGTTGTTGTTGTATGACAACAAATTACCTTGAGATCCTTACAAATAATACAAATATGTTTTAGTTATTATTTTTTGAAAAATTATATCAACAAAATGCTTGAAGAGACAATTTTGGGGCATTATATTTTTTTTCCTGAAATATATACAACATATTAAATTTTTGAAATCTATACTTTGAGGCATCAGATTATTTGGATAAAACAAACTTAACTTGTTTGATCATTCCAATTTGGTGTACATATGTCTTAATAAAACTTCAATTATAACAACCTCAGACAAAATTAAGCTAGCTTATAATAAGTTTTGAATCCATGGACAATCTCTACCTTGCAACATGTTGAAGCTGTAAAATATATAGTTAGAATTCTTCCAATTTCATATGCAGGCATGTTCTATAACATTGGAGCAACACAACAAGGAACTCATAAAATATTGAAGTTTCAAATTTAAGCTAGAATCACTGATCTATTTATGCATTGTCATAAAATTACCAAAAACACACTGGCAAGATAAATGAAGATTCATGGTGCAAATTTATTATTATTATTATTATTATTATTATTATTATTATTATTATATTTTTATACAAAAGGTAATAAAAGATTGCGAAAATGAAAAAAAACAAAAAAAGAAGTTAGAGCACAAACTAAAATACTAGAGTTCACAATAAACTATATAAATAAAATGAATGCACCAATAGTTATTTCAATCAGCTGATTTCATATTCACCTCTGGCCTGGACTTCCTTGACATGCTTCTCATACTCATCCTTTGTCTTCTCCTCTTCCTTTTCCTCCTCTTCATCTATTTCTTATCTTTGATTTCCTCTTCCTCATCTTCTTCTTCAGCCCATCCTGACAATGGATTTATTGAGGTAATTGGATTCCTTGCTTGCTTAACAATCTTCATAATGTCATCACCACTTTGTAGGGAGGAGGTGGGTGCACTATTATCCCTCTTGTAATAAACTGCTCGTGATGTTTCAGTCAACTCCCTTGGCAAGTTCTTCCTCCTCTTCATCTGATTGGAGATTTAAAGGTTTAGATTCCTGAAGGTGTCCACTGCTAACGCTTTGAAATGAGTAATGATTTGTAAAATAAATGAGTAAAAAATTTATGCTACAAGTTTATTTTATGAAGACAAAACCTG